CCAAGGCGTCACGGAAAGTGGACGCTTTTTTATCTAACAACAGTAGTTGGTTAGATTCGGAATATAGTGTATTTTTACCAAAATCGAAAAACGCAATAACAGACTCCACGACATCTAAATCATTTGAAAAACGTGGAAGACCGTACATGTCTTATGGAGATTTGTCAGAGACCAGAAAAAAAAAGAAAAAATTCCACATTAGTTAAGGAAATTGGATTCGAGCATATCTTTAATGCATATCTTCAGGCATTACGTTCAATAAGAGAAGAAACAGAAGCAAAGATTGTGGAAGCATTAAGGATTGCCGAAAAAGAAAAAAAGGTCTGTCTCGAGTATTATGGAAAACACAAACATTTTACTGAAAGATGAAGAAGCACTCAGCGTGTTTGTTGATTTAGATTTAACTAAAGCACAATATTTATGCTTGAGGAAGTTGACAAATGAAAAAAACTGTTCCTTATTCCCACCGTATTACAAGTTGCAAGAAATTAAACAAACTTGCTATTAAAAGTATTCTTGTGTTATGATAAATGCTGAAAGTTTCGGGACATATGCTATAGAAACTGCCCACATTTATGTGAGTAATTATAGCTGGTACTTTATGCCGTCTTCAGTACACAAAATTTTACTTCATGGAGAAAATATCATGAAACATTTTGCATTACTGCCTATCGGGCAACTTTCAGAAGATGCGCAAAAATCCCCTAATAAAGATTATAAAAAATTTAGCCTTCATCATGCCAGGAAACGTTCTAGATTAGCTACAAATGAGGACGTACTTCATACTATTCTGTACACTTCCGATCCCTATATCACCAGCATTAGAAAACCGTACAGAAAAAAATGACCAAGAACTCAATGAAAATACTTTGCAGCTTTTGAGAGTCGACTTATAATTTATTCCATAAAATTCACTGTACAAAAGTTGTTATTAATAAACTATTCTGAATATTGCTATAATAAGCATTTTATAAACTCTTGAAAATATATGTCATGTAATCATATAAATGTTTAAATATATACAAATTAATTAATTACACGCAATTATTAAAAAATCAAATTAATAAAGCAATTAAACCTAATAAAAGGAAAATTTTTGTTTAAAAGATTAAAAAGTACGTTTTTTTTTTTTTTTTTTTGTCTAGAAATAAGCCACAAGCTCGAATAAATGTTTTTTTATATAAATTTAATATTAATATATTTTCTAAATAAATAAACATTTTTTTGTCGTTTCTAATACTTTCAAAGTTTTTAAATAAAATTAAAAAGAACATGTTTAGTTAAGAGTAAAAAAAAAAAATGAAAATTGTGAGGTTTTTGATTTTTATTTAAAAGTTTTATATAATTTTTTTTTTTTTTTTTAATATTTCCTTAGAAGCGTCATATACTTCTTTACATTAGCGCAAAATTTCAACACTTTAATATTAGTAACAAAAAAGTTACTGATTTTTGTAAAAAAAAAAAATGAAAATTGTGAGGTTTTTGATTTTTATTTACGAGTTTTATATTAAATTTTTTTTTTATAAAAAATATTTCTTTATAAGCCCCATATACTACTCTGCATTCGTGCAAAATTTCAACACTTTATCTTTAATAACAAAAAAGCTATTGATTTAAAAAAAAAATGAAAATAGTGAGGTTTTTGATTTTTATCTTACAAGATTTGATTTAAAACTAAGTAGGAAAAAAGAAGTTGCATCTGTAGTATGAAAAAAAGTTACGTTTTTTGGAAAACGGAATTCAAACAAAACATAAAAAAAATACTGATAGAATGATATTGCATCTGATACATCTTTGAGAAAACTTGATTAAAAATGTAAAAAAAAAACTTGTTATTTGGTTCAACTTCTGAGTTTTACTAAAAACTGTCATCTCTATTTGATATTGCGGCAAATAATGCAGCTAAAAAAAATTTCGACAAAAATGCGAATGATTTAAAATTTTCATAAATCAAATTTTAGACTTTGTCTCAGGTCAGCATCTACTAAAAAAGCAGTTTTTGGATCCAATAGATAAAATAGATAAGACACTATGAATATAAAATAGATAAGACACTATGACACTAAGACACTATGACACTAAGACACTATGATACTATGACACTATGAATATAAAATGAAAAAAACAATAAGTAGCAGAGAAAAAAGAGTTATTGAAAAGAAATCAAGAAATGAAAATATAAAAAAAGAAAGATCCAAAGTACTTTCAGTATTTAACGATTTGTGATAAAAAGAAAGTTAGTATTATTACTAGATAAAAAAACTATTATTACTAAAAAAAAAAGATAATGAAAATACCCTAAAAAGTTTCTTTATTGTCCGATTTAGCTTTATATAGCTAAATCGGACAATAAAGAAACTTTTCATTCAAATTGTGATCTGATGTTTAGCTACTTGTAGCTAAACATCAGATCACAATTTGAATGCCGAGTACTTGTTTGACTGATTTAATCGGGCTGAAATTAAACGACATTTTAAAATCAAGATGGTGGTTTGTGAATCCAATTCTCGAAATTTTGGAAAGCTAAAACAAATTTTCAACACATCTTTGAGCATATTGCATCATTGAAATCTGCAAGTAATACTGCAGAACTAGTTTTCAAACTAACTCAAAGTTGTGCAAAATTTATTACCAAAGATGAAGAGCAGGAAAGATTCAATTTACAAGCAGTAACCACTAAAATGTTCTTCCACAAATAAATAAAGCAGCATTTCAAAAAATCACTTTTTAAAAAATTAAATTGTGAGTTTTTGAATCATTTTTATTTTTTTATTACTAATACCTTTTGAATAGTTATTTTGTTATCATAACTTTTAACAATTTATAACAAATAACATTAACACTTTATACCAATCAAGAATGACTCAAAATTTTAAATTTCTTAGTACTTATTCCCAGTTGGCTTTAATATTAACAATTTATACCAATCATTTGTTTGCTTGTTTGTCATAAAAATAAATTTTAATGATAAATCTTAAACCTTTTATGCAGTACGTGCTTTTTGTTTTAGTTAAAATTATTACTTTAAAAATTCAATATTTTATCATGAAGAGGGGTCACAATCAGAGTTGTTAAAAAGACCAAAAATTGCAAGGCCGAGAGTTTTAAGGTCAAGGCCAAGATTAAGAGTTTCAAGGCCAAGGCCAATCACATTTAATATGTATTTAAAAAAATAAAAGTAGATCAAGTTTATGCGCAGTACTCAACAAAATCAATAAGAAAATACGTATTTTTTTAAAGGCCAAGGTCAAAATTTTTAAGACCAAGACCAACAGTTTCACGGCCAAGACTAAGGCTAAGGCCCCAATTTTTGGCCTAAAGGCAAGGCCAAGAATTACCAACTTTGATCACAATGCGCGAAAAATTCTTTTATTTGGTTTAGTATACAAAACTACATTAAAAAAAAACAAACAAAATGAACATAGTTAAATATATCAATAAATACATATAAAAAGTATATTTTGAATTATTTTGAGAAAAACGCTTTAAAAAAAAGTTGAAATTTGTTTAAGTTTT